AAAGATAGTTAGACCAGCCAAATCTTAAAGGCAGTGTGTTTGAGCAGGTTTGATTGGTCTTTGTAGGCCATCTGGATTCTGGTGGAGGGAGTGGGGAGAAGTTGGTCTGCCTTACCCCTTATTGGGAAGGAGAATAAGCAATTTAGGAGAGAGAAGGGGACTTGGGGGAAATCAGGCAGGAATTACTTTAGCTGGAGTTTCTCTCTCAGACCTACTTATAAGATCATCTTCAAATGCAGGGGGAACTTAAATATATGTAACTTACATTCTAGCTTTTACTAGATTTGAAAAAATATAATCCGACATAGTGTAACTAAATCTACTTAATGATAAGCTATTATACTTGTCTCCAACTATATGATAAAATGTTGGTCTAAAGTTTTTCTCCATCTTCCCAAAGAATCAGAGGAAATAATTACAGTTGACCCTTGAACACATGGGAGTCCGGGGCTCCAACTCCCACGCAGTTGTAAATCCTGGTATGACTTTTGATTCTTCCAAAATTTAGCTACAGTCCTCCCTGGGTATCTGTGGGGGATTGCTGCCTGTGGCTATTTTCCTGAGCCATCACACCATTCACACAAACTTGCTGTCCCAAAGTTCTTTTTTCTGTTGTTCTCCCAGGTCTTTCCAAAACTGTTACTATCTCACTGTATTGATGTCAATGAGAATTAGGAAGCCAAACAATCTGCTTTAATCAGAAAATCGCAGAGATGCTAAATGACCAGTGAAGAGCTCAGAAGAGCTCAGAAGGCTGTAGACACTGGAGCAACACTGTTTAGATTTAGATTCCGGTCCCACCAATTACACTTGTGTGACATTGGTCAAGTTGCTTGCAATGTTCTTGAATCTCAGTGTCATCTGTAAGATGAGGTAAGAATTACAGCTGTTTTCCAAAAAGGTTGATTTGAGATGCTTCAAACACTGCTTTGAGCACTTAGTAACTGTTTAGACTATTTACATTACTGATTACAAAGCTAAGGACTATCCACCCTCTGGAAAAAACCTTTTTGACAAGGGGCTTCCTGTACTACTTAAACTATGTCACACCGTGGAGACCTGCTCTGGGCCTTTTTGCCCATGACAGTGTCTGTTCATGAGACTGGGAACTTTACATTTTCCCCCTCCACACATTAAGGGGGTAAGAAGACAGAGTCTGATATTACTGAGAATCCCAAAAGACTTCACCCCCAAAATATCTCATCATACAAACAAAGGGCAAGAGAAATAATATTTATTGAATGTCTTCTATGTGCTAGTTCACATCCACTGTCTCATTTAAGGCTCATAACATCCCTGTAAATTAGATGGTATGACCCCAATTTACAGAGGAGGAAACAGAGGCTTAACAAGGTTGAAATAACTTGCCCCAAAATTATAGGACAGAACCAGAGTGACTCACTTTAAAGCCCAAATTCTTGCCAGTTACACTACGAGGCTTCTCTCAAGAGGGTCAGACCTTCACCTGCTTCTTGTGGCTGGCGGCTCCTGTGCTATCTAAAATTATTTTTGTATATTTGAGAAATGCTCTTATTTCTTTTACTCCACTAAATTCAATTCTCTCTTCTAGAATGGGCAGGAGGCCCAGCCGGTGTGGCTCAGTGGACTGAGCGTCATTCCATGGACTGAGAGGTCGCCAGTTTGATTCTCGGTCAGGGCACATGCCCAGGTTGCAGGTTCGATTCCCAGTGGGGGGTGTGCAGGAGGTGGCCAATCCATGTGTTCTCACACTGATGTTTCTCTCTCTCTCTCCCTTCCTCTTTCTCTAAAAAAAAAGATCAATAAAAATATATTAAAAAAAAAAGAAATGGGCAGGAGACCTTGAATTGCACATGTTTAAAATATAAAGCCTGGAAGCTAATGGAAAACTAGATGCTTGAAGTTCCTGATTTTTCTTTTGTTTCTAAACTAAACCACTGTTTACAAAGAATGTGTCAGCGAAAGATGCAGAAACACTCGCTGCTTTTCCTTTATTTTTAGACTCAAGTAAATATTGGATAATAATACAGTTTGCCAAATAAGTTGAAGAAGTTCCAAAATAAGTTCAAGAAACCCCAGAGAATGATTAAAATGAGTAAATGGTAAAGATAACCATTCCTCACAGTAAAGTCATGGCCAATTAATTCTGTTATGGCTTCAAATCTCTCCTTTAACAGACTTGTCATTTATCTACCCATCAGTTCAGCCAACCTTCCATGCAGTCATCCAACATATATTTAGTGAATAGAGACCCATATGGACTACGTGCTGTTCTAGGTGCTAGGGTAAAATAGTGCTTAAACTGTGTAACGAAGGTTGAGATCACAATAATCGAATAAACAAATGAATAAAACAAGCCAATTTAAGGTACTGAAAGGTGCTGTGAATGAAATATAATATGAAGATACAGGGTTTATGGTGCAGAAACTACTTGAGAGAAGGTGGTCAAGGAAGGTTTCTAAGCATTTGAGTTGAGAACTAAACGAGAAAAAGCCAAATATTCACAAAGCAGAAGAAATAACTCCCAGGTACAGAAAGGTACTAACAATTCAAACTTACACCATCTTAGTTCATTCCAGCTGCTGTAATAAAACACCGTAGACTGGGTGGCTTATAAACAATGTACATTTATTTATTTCTCACAGCCCTGGAGGCTGGGTGCCCGAGGCCAGGATGCCAGCAAGGTCTGGTTCTGGTGAGAGTTTCTTCCTGGTTGCAGACTGCCCGCAGCTTCTGCATCTCCCATGGTGGAGAGCAGAGAGCAGCAAGCTCTCATGACTCCTACAAGGGCACTGATCCCATGGCCTCATCTAATCTTAATCACATTCCAAAGGCTCCACCTCCTCATATCATCACATTCAGGGTAACATTTTAACATATGAATTCTGGGGAGACACAAACATTCAGTCCATACAGGTACCAAGAGAGAAGGCCCTGCACCTGGGTCTAGAGTGGTGGTATGAGATGAAGGCAGAGAGGTGGGTAGGGCCATGTTAGGGAGAGTCTTCTACAATTAAAAGGAGTCTGAATTATAATCCAGGGATAATGGACATATATTGGCAAGTTTAAAAACATCCATCCAAATGCTTGGTTGAGAATTACTTATAAAGGGGCAAGTATGGAGGTAGGGGGACTGCTTAGGGTGAGCTTGAAGAGGTTAAGGTGAAAGAAGACTAAAGACACATAACAAATCTCCTCCGTGGTAAGGAGACTTCACTGGTGAAAGGAAGCTGAATTTATTTTAATAATGTCTCTGTTTACATGTGATATATCTACTATAATATAAATTGTTTTATTATTATTACTTGGGGGATGAAGATGGTGATGTGGGTGTAGACCAGCAATTACACACAACTCGATTGTGTATTAAAAAGGCATCTACTGCTGCTTCAAGGAACCACTCTAAAGGGCTTCTGGCCCTCCCTAAAGGAGAGCTACAGTATCTAGAAAATTAATTCTCTCCAGTCTAAATGCAAAACTGCTGAAACCATTTGCTAAAATATAGCCAGCCATTCTTAAGAGGGCAGAGTCCTTCCTCCGGCATTCTTTATTAGAGGCCATTTATCAATTTCTACCAATTATTATGGTAATTGATGGAAAACTTGCGACTATGGCAATTTATTGGCATTTTTCTTGGGCTCAGCCACAAGCTACCTTGAAAGTGATATCAATAATGGCTTTGCTTGCCTACTTCCTTGCTCAGAGGCGATGGTGGAGCGCTGGGAGGTGGTCAGGCCTCAGCCACCGTGTCTATCAGCCCATAAATCAGCATCTTAAAACATCCTGAAAGTGTCGTGATGGCGCTGAATGTATAAAAAGTGTTCGCAAGCCGAATCCATTGTCGTCATTCCTGGTGGCAGAGGGTGACAAGACGCTCACGTGTGGCTGAGTAGTAACGCGGCATAATAAAGCGTAGTTTGCACCATGTGTGTCACAGATTTCTCAGTTTCTCGAGGTTTTTTCAAGTTCCACCTTCCCCACTTTGCAGTTATCCTGGCCCCAGCTGTGCATCGGCTTTTGACTCCATCTGTCCTTCCACTAGGGACGAGTCTCCCTTGCCAAATGGAGAACACAAGTTTGGCTCCTCAAAGTGATTATAACCCCCGCCCTCTGCTCAGCCTGAGCCAAGCGTCTGGCCTGCGGAAGGGACGGTCGAGGGGATGGAGAGGGAGGGCGCGGAGAAGCTGCTCCCCTCACCTCCCCCCACCATCGTCACTTTGCAAGCAAAGCTAGGGCAGATGCCCGCCTGCACACCCCGCACCAGCCCGGCAGCCCAGATCTCCGGGTCCTTTCTGTTTTTGCTCCCCTCTCCTCCGTCCCTGGCCCAGCCACGAAAGCGCCCTGTTGCAGAGCGGCGATTCGCAGGTTGGAATTTGCCCTCGCGTGAGCCGCGTCACAGGGCTGGGAGGGGACGGGAGGGGAGGCGCCGGAGGCTGAATCGCAGCGGTGCCGGGCGGCCCTGGTCCTCGGCGCCCCAAGATGCGGCCGGGAGCCGCCGCCCCCTGCAGCCGACAGAGCTGCTGCCGGAGCCGCCGCTCCCTCCCTTCCTCCCTCCTTCTCTCGCTCCGGCCTGGCGCCCTCACTCCCGGCCTCCTGGCCCTTACTCCACCCCTTTCCCCGGCCCGACCCCCATCCTCTCCTTGCGTGTGCGCGCTTTAGAAAATTTCATCCTTTTTAGCAAAAGAAATAATGCACCTGACTTTACTAGGGGGAAACAACCACCCGAGCAGAACAAGGAACAGGAGAGGGAAAAAAAAGATGAGACTCGTTTAAAGAAGTCCTGGGGCTGAAGAGGTGGCCGCAGCGGCAGTGGCATCCAGCGCGTCCCCCCTGCGTGAGAGGCAGGCAGAGGATATTTGCACCAGTTGCAGATGTAACCTCGGGAACTCCTGGGTCTGGGGGTTTGTTTGCCAAAGTCTTTTCTTCTGTGGCTCAGACACTGAAGCGGCTCCTGTATTTTTCTGTCATCCCGTCACAAGCTGGCAGTTACTGGGGAGCCTTCCCAAGGAGCTGGTGGAGCAATGAGCCCTTCTGCGCAGAGGATGGGAGGACATCAGCAGCAAGGGGCTCCCGCCGGGAGGAGAGGGTCATCCAGCAGGCGGCCCGGCGGCGGTGGTGGCGCCAGGGCGCAGCGCCTCCTGCTCAGGCTCTTCGTGCACGCGTGGATGTGGGCGGCCTCGGGCTCATCTGCCCAGGTGTTCAATCTTAGCCTTTCCGTGGATGAGGGACTTCCTCCGGACACTCTAGTCGGCGACATTCACGCCGGGCTGCCGGCTGCACAGCAACAGGACGGGGGCGGCTTCTTTCTGTCCGAGGATTCAGATGACTCCCCGCTGCTGGACGACTTCCACGTGCATTCAGACACTGGCATCATCCGTACTGCGAGGCGCCTGGACCGAGAACTGCGGGACCACTACAGTTTTGTGGCCGCCACACTGCTGGGCGCCGTGGTGCAGGTGGAGATCTGCGTCAATGATGTCAACGACCACTCGCCCCGCTTTCCCCGAGACTCTCTGCAACTTGACGTCTCTGAGCTCAGCCCTCCAGGTACGGCTTTTCGCCTGCCAGGTGCCCATGACCCAGACGCGGGGCTATTTAGCACACAGGGCTATACCCTGGTGCAACCATCTGACCTCTCCAAGGACCCCGCAGGACCCTTCTTCCAACTGCGCTATGGGACCCCCGGGTCACCACCTTCCCCGCAGTTCTCGTCGCCTCTGGAGCCCTTAGACCTGGTGCTGCTTCGGCGCTTGGATCGAGAGGCTTCGGCAGCACACGAGCTGCAGATCGAGGCGTGGGACGGTGGCCACCCTCGGCGCACAGGTCATTTGCGTGTGGAGCTGCGGGTGCTGGATGAGAACGACAATCCTCCTGTCTTTGAGCAGGATGAGTACCGCGCCTCCGTGCACGAGGATGCTCAGCCAGGTGCAGAAGTCTGTCGCGTGCATGCCACGGACCCTGACTTGGGGCCCAATGGTCACGTGCGCTACAGCATCCGCTCCAGGCAGGCGCCTGAGGCAGGTGGTGGCAGCGGGCTTTTGGGGGACATGGCCTACTTCTCGGTGGAGGAGCTGAGCGGTGTGGTGCGAGTGCAAAGGCCTCTAGATCGAGAGACTCAGGCCTGGCACCAGCTGGTAGTCGAGGCCCGCGACGGAGGTGCCGAGCCTGAGGTCACTACTGTGCGGGTGTCCATAGCCGTGCTGGACGTGAATGACAACTGGCCCGCCATTCACCTACTGTTCCTCACCGAGGGGGGCGCAGCGCGAGTCTCAGAAGGTGCCCGACCCGGCGACTATGTGGCTAGAGTGTCGGTATCCGACGCAGATGGTGACCCGGAGAAGGAAGGGGAGGCAGATGGGGAACTTGATATGAGCCTTGGGGACAGGACCATTTCTCTGACCTTGGAGGGCGCAGAAGGGGCCTTCGCGCTGAGGCCTGGCGGCTCCCCAGGGGTATTTTTCCTTTGCGTTGGGGGGCCCTTGGACAGGGAGATCCGAGACCTGTATGATTTGCGACTGGTGGCCACAGATGCGGGTTCTCCGCCGCTGAGCACGGAGGAGACACTGCTGCTCCGGATCGCCGACCTCAACGACCAGCCGCCTCTCTTCAGCCAGGAGCGTTACCAGGCCTCAGTATCCGAGGCCGCGGCCCCTGGCACCGCGGTCGTGTGGGTCAGCGCCTCCGACGCGGATGAGGCTGGCACCAGCCACGCCAAGCTGCGGTACAAGCTGGTCCACCTCCCTGCTCACTGCAGCCAAGAGGCTCCGCTGCCCACAGTGGAGTGCGGACCGTCCTTCACCATAGACCCTGAAAGCGGCCTGATCAGCACCATCCAGAGCCTGGACCGAGAAATCCAGGAAGCTGTAGAGCTGAGAGTGGTGGCCCAAGACCTGGGAGAGCCCCCGCTGTCTGCCACCTGCCTGGTGAGCATCACCGTGGAGGACGTGAATGACAACGAGCCCGTCTTCTGGAGGCAGGTGTACAACGCCAGCCTTGCGGAGCACGCCCCCGTGGGACACTGCTTTCTGCAGGTGAGTGCTTGGGGCCCGTGGATCAAAGGAAGGCCAGGGAAGAAATGGAGCCATGTGAGTCTGTCCCTGGAAGGGGAATTCTGATGTGGTAGTTATACCCCAACTTGGTAGCAGGGAACAGGGTCTCTAGTTCCCCCTCTACAGTGACATGAATGGGCACCCTCTGACCACCTAACCTTTCTGCCAGGGGCTTGGACTGAGTGATCTCTAGGGTCCTTTCTACTCCTCATGATATTTGGATCTTGCCTTTGCTTATGAATTCCGGCTTCCTCCATGCCGGGTATGTGCACCCAAATTGGGCGGAACCACCCATTCTCAAACAGCCCGTGAGTGGCAATGTCTCATGTTTTTGAGCACCATTATGTGGCATCCTGGGAAGTAAGTTGGCCCTCATAAATTCGTTTTTCAAACAAACAAGTATGTGCGTTTAAACACTGAAGCTGTTTTGAGTAACCATTTTTAGAGACTTCCTCCACATTGTCCTACCTTCTTGAGAAGCCTGCAGAGGCTAATTAAGGACATCAAGTCCTACTTATCTGTTGTAGGCCAAGCTCCTCCAGTGAGGCCCTTCAGGACCACGAAGAGTAGTGGGCTCCATCATCCTTTATAAGAGGGGCTCTCCACCCTGCTTTCTGGGTGTGTGCCTTTAAGAGTTCTGACCCCTCCTTCACATGCACCCTTCTAGCACCACTGCTTATCGATTCCAATTTTCTATTTCTTGTCTGATGTGAAGTAACAAACCAGATTTCCAAGACTGATTTATTTACCCCAAGAAAACTTGAATACATAGATAGAGCCGGAGAGGCCAGCTAGTGAGTGAAGCTCTGAAGCTTGCTTACTCTCAGGCTGGGTTGTTTTAAGACCTCGGAGGCTTATTTCCTGGTTGAGGGGGGCGGGGCTTCAGCTTTTATGTCTCCAGTCATCCCTTTAGATAAATGAGAGGCTACTATATTATAATATGAGTGTCATGACTGCGTCTATATTTGTGAATCTTTTGGATCTGTGGGTGATAATAATCCCCATCCTTTTCTCTGGCACAATCGGCAGCTCTGTGAGTGGCTAGGTTGTTAAAGGAAGACCTGAAAACCAATGAATGCTTGCTGGTGAAACGGACAAATCCACAGCTGTCAGGGAGTGACATCCTGGAAGGTTATTCCTCGCTCAAGCAGAGTTTAATATGGTGCAGGTTGGCTGGTCCTCCTTCATCCAAGGTAGGGCCAGGCCTGGGAGTGACATAGATTAGGTCCACCCATGTCCCATTGGTCGGAGCTCAGCCACATGGCTTCAGGTGTGCTGCAAAGGAATTTGAGAAATGGAGAGGAGCTCATGAATACCAGGGTACGCTGATAGTTTCTGCCATGGATTTCTAAACGTCAAGTCATAGTAGGTGAGAGGTTGGCCTAGCTTTCTTCCATCTGGAAGACCTTAAGGATCTTGATATAAAACAGTACAACTTGGCTCCATTTGAAGGAAAATAAGCAGGGTGGGTTAATTGTGATTCCTTTGACTAGAACCTGTCTTTAGAGCTGTTTCTAAAACTGTGGGATGATTCTGCCATGAGGTGTGAGTTTATCCCATTGTTATGACTCTGTACGTGGCAGATCCATTATATGAGCTGAACTTGGCTCAACTGTAGGACTGCATCTCTAATGGCAAAAAAAAAAAAAAAAACACACACAAAAAAAACCCTTTCAAGTTGCCAAGTATTGCTGTAGATAGTATTAAATTTTGCTTGCTTAAAATTTCTGGACATGCCAGTGATCTAGCCCCTCAAGACTGCAGAAACCCTCGTATTCATGGGGCTCTCCAGGGGCCTCTCCACAGCAGCGAAGTGAACTTTCTGTGTTCTGTAAGCGCTCTAGCTGAATGTCCCCTAACTTCTAGGTAAGCCGAATGGAGTGTCTTCCGTATGCTTTCTTTAAAAATAATAATTGTAATTATATTTATAATTATATAATTCTATAAACTAATAATTATATTAGTTTAATTATATTAGTTTCAGATATACAATATAGTGATTTGACATGTTTATACCTTACAGTGTGATCACCCTACTAATTCTAGTGAATTATCTGTCATGGTGCAAACTTATCAAAATATTATTGACTATATCCCATTCACATTTGCATCCATTCCCCAAACCCCTCCCCGCTGACAATCATCCCTTCGGTGTCTGTTTCTACAAGGCCTTTTGTTTTGTTTTTTTCTGTTTGTTCATTTATTTGTTTAGATTCCACATATAAGTGAAACCATACTGTATTTGTCTTCTCTGTCTGACTTATTTTACTTAGCATAATACCCTCTAGGTCTACCTACGTTGTCACAAATGGCAAGATTTCATTCTTTCGTATTGCTGCATGGTACTTCTTTATTTACAAATACCTCATCTTTATTCATTCATCTATTGATGGACACCGAGGTTGCTTCCATATCTTAGCTATTATAAATAATGCTGCAATGAACAACAAAGGCTTTCTCTCTTTTTGCTCTCTCAATTTCTTTTTTATCCTCACCCAAGGACATTTTTGCATTTATCTTCAGATAGAGCCGGAGGGAGAGAAGGAGGAAAAGAGAGAGAAACATCGATGCAAGAGAGACACATGGAGTGGCTGCCACCCACACAACCCCAACCGGGGCCGGGGACAAACTGCAACGGAGGTACATGCCCTTAGCGGGAACCAAACCCAGTCCTCTCTGGTCCATGACGAATACTCTAACCACTGAGCAAATTGGCCAGGGCATCTCAGTTTTTTATAGCACTGTAAAAATGAACCTCCCAGCTAGGCTTTGGATCTCAGGCCCTCTCCTTTTTTTCCAGGGTTTTGTTTAATTACCTTATCTCAAGTTTTATAACTGTACCTTCTTTCTGTTGCTCTCTGACAATTTTCTTCCAATAGACCTCATATTTGCTAAATTCTCCTTCGTCAGAATCAAAACAAAATAAAAAACGTTAGGAAAAGAAAATTGTTCTCTAGATTCCCTGTAAGTGAATATTGTGTCATCTAATAAAACACACCCTAAACCTTCTCAGTGTCTTGGTAGTTTCTCCACATCACTTATCTGCTCTTACTACTGCTTGTACCACAGTGATGCCCATCTTCCTGACCCCTAGGGCTGGCTGAACCATTTTATATTATCACACCCAGATAGGAACTTCCCAAAGACTTTAAATGTAAGGCAGACAAAAGGGATTTAATATAGAGTACAAGAATCAGTAACAGCCTGAGACCTCCTGTCCCAAAGGGTTTTCACAACCTTGTGGGCACTGGCTTGGATTTCTTAATTCCTTGCTCCCCCTCCCCATCCCCCCATGTGGAGAGCTCCTCTCAGTATCTCTTGATGCTTTCATGGTTAAGGCAAAAGGGGATTTCTACTCTGCAAACACCCAGGGGTGCCCCCTGCCAAACTAGTGTCTGGCTTGGAAGATTCTCTTTTTCCTCGGATTACTGTCAAAAAGACTAACTTCAACCACTAGGCAAGACCTTCACTCTTCACCCACCCTAAATCCAATGACGTGAGCTGCACTTACTGCCTTTGTCTTGTGAACAGATCTTAAAACTCCAGCATTCATACTGAAATCACCCAGGTACCATAGCAAGATATCCTCTCATATCCCCCAAATATCAGCATTGTATTCATGCACAAATGTATTTATTTAAGCAAACAACAGAATTCATTGAATAAACAGTATCCAATGGACAAATACTTATTGAGTACCTATTACAGGCCAGGAACTGATCTTGGTGCTGGAGACACAGCATTGAGCACAATGGGCAGGGTCCCCGTGCGAACAGTCTTGGTGGTTTCTCTCCTTCCCTGCACTGTTAGTCACGGAGAATGAATGCCATGTGCTCTGCCTCCACTTGCCCATCCCTTCTCAGCCCCTGTTCTGACCTCCCCCCATCACTATACTAAATTCTGCCTCTCAAAAGGTAGCTACGCTCTTTTATGTAAGATCCAATGCTCTTTTCTGACTCATAACCTTCCCCAGTCTCTCCAAAGCGTGTGGACTGTGGCCCACTTCCTCTTTCTTGTCTGCATCTTCTTCTCTGCCGTTGCCACACTGCACTCTCTGGCTGTGTCCTGCCAACTCCCCCTTTCCCTCTTGCACCACCCCACTCAGTGTGGTAGGGGCATCTCCAAGGGTCTGTCTCCTCTCGTGTCTCTCCTTTCTTCTTATATAGTCCCACAACTTCACTTTTTGATTTTTTACATCTCCAGGGTCAACCTCCCTCACAAACTCCAGATTAAACTTTCTCTACTTGGTATGTATCTCTACATGGATGTTTTCTTGGCACCTCAAATCTGACATTTCCCAAATTGAACCCATTTCCCTTCCAGTATTTTTTCTTTCTTTTATTTTCAAATTTCGTTAATCAGCTCCTTTTGGAAATTTTTCTATCTTTGTGAATGTGTCCTTTCTATAGATGTGTTTATGTATTCGGTGGGTTCTGTGTGATGTATTTGCTGATTGTTGGCGTGACTGTGTTTGCATTGTTGAGAATTACAAGGATGAAGAGCAAGGTCATGTTTCATGTCAATCAGCAGGTCTTGTCCTGGCCGGTTTGGCTCAGCGGTTAGAGCATCGGCCTGAGGTCCAGAGAGACCCGGGTTCGGTTCCCGCTAAGGGCATGTACCTCGGTTGCAGTTTGTCCCCGGCCCTGGTTGGGGTCGTGCAGGTGGCAACAACTCGATGTGTCCCTTTCACATCGATGTTTCTCTCTCTCTGCCTCCCACGCTATCTTAACAAAAAACAAAAAACAAAAAAAAGGAAAAAATGTTCTCAAGTGAGGATGAAAAAAAAAAAAAGCAGGTCTTGAGATTCCAACCTGGGGCTGTGGGAGAGAGAGAGCACCTGGTTTCTTTGTTTGCTCTCATGGTCTGACTGTGAGGAACCTCCCAGGAGAGGTCTGGACAATAGACCTTAAAAATAGTATCTACCATCTAGGAAGACATGAGGAATTGGGAGGCTTGATTCCCACTGGGCTTCATAGGCTGAA